GCCTGTTTTATTTTTAAAATGGTAATATGGTTTTGGGGGGGGGGGGTCTGACTTTGTGTGACGAGGGGGGAGGGGTCAAAAATCGTCCAAAATCGCGTGACGTCATTTATGGACGGCCCCAGGGAGGGCCATACGACTCTTTTTGAGGAGGATCCTGCAAGTGGGTTTTTACTTTGCGATATTTTCATCCAATTAATGAGTGTTCATACTTGTGGGAGGAAACCAGAACATTCGGGAGAAAACCCCGCGCGTGCAAGGGGGCAACACTCTATCCCCGCGCAGCTGGCAATCGGTCCGCCTGCTGCGATGCCTTCTCACATCTTGAGAAGCTCCCACGGGGAGTTTCTCAAGATGTGTGCGATCCGCCGATCCTCGCCTCCAATGCTGGATTCCAGGCGTGCTTGCCACCACCGCCGCCCGGCTAAGGAAAGACGTAGTGGAGTCAGCGGAGGAGCGGATGCATCTACGGACAGTCATCGACTTACGAACACTATCTGTTCCTGAGCCACGTTCGTAAGTCGGCCGGTTTGTCAGTGAGAAGACCATAATGCAAAGTATTTAAATGTCCGTAGGTCAATGTTATGAAATGTGTTGCGGTTGAACAAAAAGGGGAGCATTGTTCAACTTATAATTAAGAATATTGTACATTTTAAGTCGATGTTATTTTGTATGTTTCATGTCAGCCGGTACGTAAGTACGGGTGTTCATAAGGGGCCGTCCATAAATGACATCACGCGATTTTGGCCGATATTTGACCCCCTCCCTCGTCACAAAAAGTCAGACCCCCCCAAAACCATATTTCCATTTTGAAAATAAAACATGCTTCAAATCACTTTAAACTATTGTCATTGTAGTGCGTATTTAATGTGGCGCTGCCCTCTGATGTTGTAGGAGAAAATACGTATTAAAAAGGCGTTGGAAAGCAGAAATTTAGCATAAGATTCACTTGAAAATATTCAACGTCTAACTAAAACTGCAAATGTTCAGAATATTATATTGATTTTCTCTTATAATTATAAAATATTAAAAGTAATTATAACCAGGGGGGGTGACAGGGGTGACATTCTGCGTGTAAGTGTACGACACTCGGTCTGGCGTGCAACTGCATTGTCAGAGCGTGTCCGCCAACCGATGGCGTCTAGTTCAACAAACCTGACTCTCTAAATCGTTCTTGATATTAACATTTGTTGAATGTCACCCCGGGCTGAAAATCCTGGCTCCGCCCCTGATTGTAATTATTTTAAAAAATACTTGAAACTTTGTAATAGAACGAAGTTTAATGGAGAGTACAATTATAACACTCACATATTCATTCCACAGAATGAAAAGCCCTGGTAGAATAATTAAAATCTAAATGTTTAATAACAATAATTATTATTTTTAACAAAATTTATGCTTCTCCATTCTCCCATGGGGAAGCAAAATGCTCCTTCATGGAATAAATAAAAGGTGACCTGAGTAAATTTAATAATGAAATAGTTAATAATGAAAATGAATCAAACTAAGTATCCTGTAGAATATGAATCCCTGCAGTCACGGAAACTTAAATAAAAAAAATATATAGTGCTGTTATAACAATTATATTTAATTAATTAGAACGTGTTGTTTATATTTATTTAAAGTTGCGCATTTGTACGTGACGTCTCATTTCTCAAGCCCCCCCCCCCACCCACTCACCTCGTCACACATCGTCACAAATGTCTGACCACCCCTCCCCCCCCTCTAAGTACGTGACGTCATTTATGGACGACCCCCAAGTCGAAGACTGCCCGTACTTGAACAGCAGTCCCTGCCAAACATCACAAACGTGCGTGCACAACTCTGCGACGCCCCAGACGGTAGCACGGCAAGTTTAGATTTTTATTTAAGCGTCTTCTCTGTGGTGTCACCAACTCATACTCTTTGGTTCTATTGGGTAAAGTCACGTAGGTGAAAATAAAATAACAAAAAATCACGACGTTTCGGCCACAACACAAGCGGCCTTCATCAGGTGAAGGGACGAGACTGTCTGGAGGACAGCGCTGGAGTGGAAGAAGCCACGCTTAGATCACGACCTTTAAGCTGTGTGAGAAGAAAAAGACCACGCGCCTTGACAAAGGAATTAGCATATAATTTAGCATTGAAATGGCTCATTGAAATAGCTAAGTTAAAGTATACACATCCGCAGAGGTACCCCTTGACAAAGGAATTATTTCAATGAGCCATTTCAATGCTAAATTATATGCTAATTCCTTTGTCAAGGCGCGTGGTCTTTTTCTTCTCACACAGCTTAAAGGTCGTGATCTAAGCGTGGCTTCTTCCACTCCAGCGCTGTCCTCCAGACAGTCTCGTCCCTTCACCTGATGAAGGCCGCTTGTGTTGTGGCCGAAACGTCGTGATTTTTTGTTATTTTATTTTCACCTACGTGACTTTACCCAATAGAACCAAAGAGTATGGATCCTAGCAGTCACGAAAGCTTTAAATCTAGAAGTGTCACCAACTCACCATCGACAACGGCTGCACACCTCCAGCAGCACGTGGCTGGAGCCCCTTGTACACGACAGGAGGTGAGGCATTTTTTTGATTGAAACGGTTGCATCAAAAATCTTTTTTTTCTTTTAAAAACAAAAATCTTCTACAACCACCTCCTTCGGGCCGATTATAATTTGCATGGTTTTTTTTTGGTTTGAAAGTCAGATTTTGTTAAATTGGTCAGTATCCTGCAGTTATCACCAGGTAGCCATCGAGAGATGCGGTGGCTTTGGAAGGCCTTCATCCAGCGGGGGATAGACCTTGGCTGATTCTGCTAAGCGTGAAGACCAGTGGCTCCTTTGAGTACAACTCTGTTTAAGGGAGGTGAAAGCAATGGAGTGCACTTGCGATATACGGTCGGAAGAAACTCATACAGTATGATTACATTAGGGGCCATCCATAAATGACGTCACGCGATTTTGGACGATTTTTGACCCCCCCCCCCTCGTCACACGGCGTCGCAAGTCAGACCCCCCCCCCTCTAATGACGTCACAAAGCTCTGCCCTCCCCCCGCAAAAAATAAAACATGCTTCAATCTCGCTTTAAACTATTGTCATTGTAGTGCGTATTTAATGTGGCGCTGCACTCTGATATTGTAGGAGTCGCGAAAACTTCAAATCTAGAAACAAAAAATAAAGTTATGTTTAACGGGAAGTTTCACAACAAGAGTTGCAACAAATATGAGAAATAACACAAAATAGGAAAAATTACTTCGGAGTGTTAATTACACCGGAGAGATTATTTTATATTTTTGGTTCTTTCGGTAAAGTCACGTAGAAGGGAAACAATAAAATAATTGTCTTGCTGTGGTTTTCACACCTGATGATGATTGCTTGTGTTGCAGTCGAAACGTCGTGAGAATTTTATTGTTTTATATTTTTATTATTTTATTGTTTCCCTTCTACGTGGTGACTTTACCGAAATAACCAATAATATGAATCCCTGCAGTCACGAAAGCTTTAAATCAAAATTATTTAAAGTTGCGCATTTTGATGTGACGTCACATTTCTCAAACCCCCCCCAGGTGCGTGACGTCATTTATGAACGGCCCCTTAACACAGACATTCTGATTGCAAAACAACAATAATTGATATTCGTAAGGCGCATTTCATCCGTAGATATCAAATGCACCCAAATCGTAAAAGAACAAAACCCACTATTGTAACGTACACAACATAATTTAATACATCAGTGGGACAACAAGTTTCGAGCAGCTTATGTTGGTGAAAAAGAACCAATTCTCGGACTGGACCGAGCGCGATGCGAATCATACGGCACGCACACGAGTTATACGTTTAACGTGTCGAGCGTGTATACACGTGTTGTGGGAAGCGGTGGTGTAGTGGTTAGCGCGCTGCATTACAAACCCTGGTTAAAACCGGGTTCGATTCCCGCTCAACGGCCAACACCGGTGACGATTATCTGAACCGTTCCTGGGCCTCCCCTAGGTCGACTCGACCTCAAATTAGTACCTTGTGAGATGTGTTAACATCGCCACTGGGGAGACAAACGCGCCCGGGCGTGGTGCTGGCCACCCACCCCCTCGTGTGCCGTGCCGGCCTTCATAGGTGCTGCTCGCTAACAGCACTTGCCCCTACAGTCTGTTACAGGCTACACGCGGGATCCTTTCTTTGACACGTGCCGTTACGTGTCGATTAAAACCCCTCCCCCGGGACACCCTTGCCAACGAGACGTGTCCATCCCAAGGGATTTATACAGCCGAAATAGTTCAATAAATACAATAAAGTCCCAACCCCCCCTCCCCCCCCCAGGTTAAATATAATACGAAGCCGCCACGTGCGAGAAGCGACCTTAAGTGATCACAGGCGCGGCGACTCGCAGCCGAAGTTAGACGATTCGGTAGCCGTGTCATGATCACGTTTTGTTTTACCGAGGGGAAACCTCACCCGGGTCGCACGCCTCGTTGAAGGCTCCAGCAGTCGAGGGTGGCCGATGTTGCTGCTGTGCGTGAAACCAACCCAAGTAATTTCGCAAGGTGATTTTTCACCATTGGGATGATGCTTTGGACAATATCAGTTCGACTAGTTCGACTGTATGGGTTTTTGTTGTTGTTGTTTTAGCTTAGGGGTCGGGCACAGTTGGGAATATTCGGTCTCGTTATCGTGCCCGACCGCCAGCCATTGCTTTTTCCCCCCACACATGGCAAGAGGCCTGGTCGGTAGGCCTTGCGAGGCCTTTCAAATGTACGTTGAACTTTTTTCGCACCGTACGTAGACAACCATGCTAATCGGAGGTGCGGAGATACGGGTGAGTGAGGGAGTGAGTGAGGGGGTGAGTGAGGGAGTAGGTGGGTGAGCGAGGGGTGAGTGAGGAGGTGAGTGGGTGAGTGAGGAGGTGAGTGGGTGGGTGAGTGAGGAGGTGAGTGGGTGGGTGAGCGAGGGGTCAGTAGGTGAGTGAGGGGGTGAGTGGGTAAGGGGGGTGAGGGAGTGGGTGTGTGAGGTGGTGAGTGGGTGATTGAGTGGGTGGGTGAGGAGAAACGGCTGTACGAATGCGATGGAGACGCTGCTGCTGTCCGCCCGTCCATTCTGCCACGAAGATTCAGCACTGAACGGCCGTCTCTCCGTGAAAGCGCATTTGTTTTTGCAGATTTCTCTTTTCCATTCGGGATACCCCCCCCCTCCTACCACCCTCTTGCTCCCTCCCTCTGTCTTATTCAAGGTGCAGGGGTTCCTCCAGGAGCCAGCAGACGAGGTGCAATGCTAGGGGGCTCGTGGTACAGCTGGGATTGGTGTCTGATCTCTAGTTTTATCAGTGTTCTGAACGAGGACACTGAACTTCTCACCACTCAGCCTTGGTCATTCGTACGGACCAGACACCGCAGCGATGATCACTAAGACACAGGTCACACGCTACGGGTAGAAAAAACGCGCTTCACGCACCACTCACAGTCTCGCTCGGAGCCACCGCTCCACGCAGGGCCCCGTCTGCTCGGAACACCAATCACAGCACTGCCACGGCCTACAGCTACTACTACTACTACACCTCACTTACACCGGCCGGGCGGAAACCTCTACCACGGACTACCGCGTCGCATTCCTCCAGACACCCGACGATCATTTACACAAAGTGCTACGTCACTAAACACGGGACAACAAGCAACACGGACGACGGAAAGTGCACGTGAGGTTAAATTTTGATTGCAGTCAGGGAGGATGTATTCCCGCCCCCGTCATCTCAACTTGGGAGTGTTTCATCCAGCAGTGGACTGACCATGGCCGATCGCTGATGGGATCCTCATCTCCTACCGACGCCCGCACCACACGCGATACTGTGGGAGGACCACAGTTTACACTGCACATCGTGCAGCACTTGTGAATTTAAATTGCGGAGGTTTAAGCACGGAGCCTACGCCGATGAGAATCCCCGGGTTCGAGTCTGGATCTCAACAGCCGGTGGGGGTGAAGCTGGGTGTTTTCGAGCGCAGGGAGTAAATGGTCTCAGCCTGGTCAACAACGACTGCAACAAAAAACCCATCTCTAATAAAGCGGAACGTGCGGGGAATTGCAGCGCTCCCTAGCGTGGGTTAAGAGGTCACGTGAAGGCATCTCAGAAGCAGTTCTGCCATATCACCTTCCTCGGACCGTTCTCTTGACACACGGGGCGATGCCCTGCTCTGCGGCAGTTCTCTTAGCGGGCAAATCGTCATCTCACGACATGGTGTGGATAGCGGCCGATAGCGTGAGTGGAGAAGAGGCAAGATGTACGAATTCTCGCTGGCCTAGCAGAGGACAGATGGCGGGGTAGGCCTGCTTTGTGCTGTGTACACCTGGGCTGCGATGGCAGAGGAATTTGCTGTTCAATTCGGTCTCGGTGACAACAGAGGATTGCCAGCTGTTCAACTCAACCGCCACTCAAGAGACCGCATCGACGGCCGTGCACAACCGTGGCGCTGCAAAGCTGCATGCACATCCCAACGATCCGCTGCGCAACCGATCGCACTCGAAATCGTGCAACCTAAATCACTTGGGAGCTGCTTCTGTCCACGCCTGGGCGAGCAGTTGCGCGCACCAACGGCGTGTCCGGCCATGCCCCTTACAGCGACTGTTCGCAAGCGCGCACGTGGCCAATTACGCCACTGCAAATCGCCGAGCAGACCGCCACTTGCAAGCAGAATCCGCCTCGACTGCAAAGCGGCCGGTAGCGCAAACCGCTCGCAACTGGCGACGGGGAACGTCCAAACATTAGCAATGCGGTTGCATGCAACAGATGGCTCAGGTGTGGAAGCGCTTTCACAAAACGCAGCTTTGCTGCGGGGCGGCGGGGGAGGGGGGTTGTTGGCGCAGTTTTTGCGTTGGGTGTGTGCACCAGCGCGTGAGCTCCGCAATGAGCCCACGCCACCCAGCCTCTGCCTCACGACCTCCCTTACAGCTCGTCTTTCGAGTGCTCCCCTAGCGAGTCCTCCTCCTTAACCTCATCTTTCTCCTCCTCCTCCTCCACCTCCTCCTCCTTCTCGTCGTCATCTTCGTCATCGTCCTCCTCCTCCTCGCTGTCCTCGGCCGGGTCAGGGTCCTGCTTGCCGGGGGTCGCGTCCCCCTCGTTACCGCCATCGTCGTTGTCACTGTCTTCGCGCTTCCTTCTCTCCTCCTTCATCTTTCTCTCCGCGTCCTAGCGGAGGGAAAGATGAGATAGGTTTAGTTTTGTCGCATCATTTACAGAAACCGATGGGTTTCAATAACGGGCCGCACGTACCGCACAACAAGACAGGCCGAGGGCACCGTCCACGTGAGCAAGTCTGCGCAATTTATATAGCCGGCCAGGTAGCGCAGCACCTCCGATCCTCCGATTAGCTTCCCCCGCACCTCCGGTTAGCACGGTTGGATACGTACGGTGCGAAAGAAGTTCAACAAACGTACATACAGAGCGAACGGCTCAAAATCGGAAGGGGGTGAATAAGAACCCTCACTGAGGGATCGACTCTGCACGTGGATCGGGTGGCTCCTCACCCACCTTGGTGAGCCCCCAGGTCTTCTTGGCAACCTCCTCCGCATACTGCTCATCGTCGGTGATGAGGAAGTTGTCGAATATCGTGCCCGACTTCACCTGCAGTCGCCGTGTACACGCACACACATGCACACACACGTGTAAAAGACAAAGATCCCCCGTGCAGCCTTAACAGACTGTTGGGGCAAGTGCTGTCGGCGAGCATCTATGAAGGCCGGCTCGGCACACTAGGGAGTGGGTGGCCAACACCACGCCCGGCCGCCTTTGTCTCCCCAGTGGCGATGTTTGCGCACCACACCGGGCACTCATCTGAGGCCGAGTTGGCCTAGGGGAGGCCCACGACCGGTGCAGATAATCGTCACCGGTGGTGGTCGTGAGCGGGAATCGAACTCAGGTCGCCGGGTTCGTAGCGCAGCGCGCTAACCGCTACCACTACCTTTGCCCACACGCACACAGGTACACACATGCACGGAGGCAAAGGGGCGAGCGGCGGAGGGCACGAGGCGCATGGGGGGGTGCGCGTGCGGACGTGGGGGGAGCGGTATTGGTCTCACCTGCCAGAGGTCGAGACCCAGCACCCCGATGTTGTCGAAATAGTAAATGTTGGGGTCGGACGCGAAGTCCGGGTTGTCGATCTTGGGGTGAACCCACGTGCCCTTGTAGTCTGGGTTGCTGATCTGCTTGGGTTTCCACTCGCTCTGCAAAACGGGGCAGTTTGACCGTCGGCTACGCACCGGTCGCGCGCACCACGCTGCAACACATCGCGCCAGTCGTGCCAGGCCACTCGCACCACGCTATTTGCGCACTGCCACACAAATCACACCACTCACACCGCACCGTACGCACCAATTCGGACCCTAACGACAGCACACACCATGGTGGTATTAATGGTAGCAGTTGTGGTAGTGGCGGCAATGGTGAAGGTGGTGGTGGCGTTGGTGGTAGTGGTGGTAGCAGTTGTAGTAATGGCGGCAATGGTGAAGGTGGTGGTGGTGTTGGTGGTGGTAGCAGTTGTGGTAATGGCGGCAATGGTGGTGGTGGTGGAGTTGGTGGTAGTGGTGGTAGCAGTTGTGAAGGCGGCAATGGTGAAGGTGGTGTTGGTGGTAGTGGTGGTAGCAGTTGTAGTAATGGCGGCAATAGTGAAGGTGGTGGTGGTGTTGGTGGTGGTAGCAGTTGTGGTAATGGCGGCAATGGTGAAGGTGGTGTTGGTGGTAGTGGTGGTAGCAGTTGTGGTAATGGCGGCAATGGTGAAGGTGGTGGTGTTGGTGGTAGTGGTGGTAGAAGTTGTGGTGAAGGCGGCAATGGTGAAGGTGGTGGTGTTGGTGGTAGTGGTGGTAGCAGTTGTGGTGAAGGTGGCGGTGGATGCGCACACCTTAAAGTCGGGGTTCTCCACCATGGGCGGTTCCCACTCCCCGTCCATTTCGTCGTCCCAATCGTCCGGCTTCTTGGCGTCTGGGTCAGGGATGTGCTCCGGCTGGTCCCAATCCTGCAGGTGCAAGAGATAGGGGGCAGAAGATCAAACCAGGAAAATACCGCGGCAGGGAAGACGGGAGACAGGAGGTAACAGGAGGAGATACAAACAAGAAGAGAGAATGAGACAGGAGGGGGTGGGAGGATGAGAGGAGGAGATGAGAGGACAGAGGAGGGAAGACCGCAGACAGAAGATCAGAGAAAAACACAGAGGGGAGATGTTCGGCGAGATGGGTAGACACGAGAGTGGACTGTAAGACACAGGAGACACGGCAGGGAACAGGAGGAGACACGGCAGGGAACGGGAGGAGACACGGCAGGGGGCTGGAGAGGGGGACAGGAGACACGGCAGGGAACAGGAGGAGACACGGGAGGGGGGCTGGAGAGGGGGACAGGAGACACGGCAGGGAACAGGAGGAGACACGGCAGGGGGCTGGAGAGGGGGACAGGAGACACGGCAGGGAACAGGAGACACGGCAGGGGGCTGGAGAGGGGGACAGGAGACACGGCGGGGAACGGGAGGAGACAGGAGACACGGGAGGAGATTGGTAGGAGCGGGGCGAGGCCGCTCCTGGGTGAGCTACCTCGGGCTTGGTGTCGTGGGGGTCATCAATGGACGGCCGCTCATCCCAGTCGTCGGGGCGCACGGCCGCGGGGTCCTCGACCCTGCGTGGGGGCAGCACGTCCCAGTCGTCCTCGAGGCTGCCCGACTCCACGCGCTCGCCGTCGATCTTCACCTCGTACGTCTGGTCCGGCCGCAGGACCAGCGTGTAGAGGTGCGTGAACTCGTCGTCCTGCGCGCCCCCCACCCACCGGCACAAGCGCGCGTGCGGGTCAGTGAACGCGCCGTCAGGCGGTACGTTGAGGCGCGCACAACCCCCTGCGGTTCGACGAGAGGTCACAATTCACCGTCGCGATTCAATTGAGGAATCGATTCTCGTTGGTTTGGTTTCTTTCTCAACGCCTATTTTGGTTCTCATTTGCACGGTCTTTGTGCTTTCGATTTGCCAAAATGCAACGTTAACTTGACTGTGCACGTACAGTCCTTCTGTCATTTGGTGCACATCATCGGGAGCGATTCGTCTAATCGTTCACCACGCTGGTCAGTGCAGATTGGTGCACGCTGGGAGCATAGACGCAGGGGCAACGTACAGTACAACAACAAGTTCTGCTAAAATGCCCTCTTGATACAAAACCTTTCCAGCATGGCGGTTATCGACCAACGTGCTATCTGGCCTCGACCCCATTGAGCTTCCGACAACTGGCAAGATCGGGAGCATTCCAGATTATATAGTTTGAGAAGTGCTCATTTGTTATCAGGTTGAATTTGTCAGATCAGCCCTTGTAACGGGAACCGAGCCACTGCCGACATGCAGTGGTGTCCACCAGGGGCTGCTCACCCTGCAGCGGATGTCCTTGTTGATGAGGTGGTTCTTGCCCTTGTAGTTGATGATCACGTGCACCTTCTTCGTGCCGGGCCCACAGATGTCCGGGCCTTCGGCGACGAGACAAACAACGGCATCACACTTTCGCGACTCACCCGCTGCAACGATTCCATTGATCTTTGTCACTATTCGGGGTCACGAATCGCCGTTTCGTTTAGGCTTGTGGCATTCCCGTAGAATGACGCGGCTGCTAGCGAGGTTTTCATCAGGCATGGAAGGATTCACCATCAATTCGATGATGATTCATTGCCACAGATGTAACATTTAAGATGGAAGACCCCCGATGAGCTATGAAGCTCTTGTTCGCAGGTGTCCACAGCCCATGCCGAGGTTGGCAATGCTGGAAAATTACAATCACACGTAAACTCATTAACACATGAACTCGAACAAAGCAACAGAAGAATATATTTTCGATTTGACGCCAAGATCGAATTGATTCGTCTTGTCTGTCTCGTTTGTACCGTCTGCCTTATTCTGTATTCTTTGTGTCTCGTTACCCTCAAGACGTATTAATTTTCTTACGTATGTTCAGACGTCATAATTGAGCCTTCGATGGTGTGTGTCGCGAGTTTCAGAATCGCTATTTCCGCTACTTTATTTTTTCAATGGAAACCCAGAGATCCGTTACATTTCCTCCAAAAAAGAAAATCCGACGGAAAGAACTCCTCCGTCATCGCGTGGACGTGGCCCAACGTCCCCCGCATGCCCCGGTGGGCGGCTACCGGAACCCGGGCCGGGGCGATCAGCGGCCTCACCGAACATGAGGTAGTATCGCGAGTCCCCGTGCATGTCCTGCTGGTCGAGCTCGGCGGGGAACAGCTTGACGTAGCCGCCGCCGCAATCGATGTCCTGCTCGTGCTTGACGCTGAACTGCAGCACAAGCGTGCGGCCCTTGTTGCTGAAGGGCGGAAACGCGGCCGAGATGGCATAGAAGCGCACGTCCTGGGTCGTCTGCAGGCCTGGGAGGGCGGCGCATGCGCGGCGAGTTACGATTCACCGCGGCAGCTTCATCTGCCCCATCGCCAGACGTGCAAATTGGTGGGGGGGGGCGGGTCGTAGTTCGATTCAAGAATGTATTCTTTCGGTGTTGTTTTTACCGCCTCACTTTCAGATTGTCTTTATTTGTGACGACGACGGCTATGCCGATGATGAAAATGGCAACGATGGTGGCGATGGTGTGAGGATGACGATGAACGTGACGACCAGGTTTAAAGCTTTCGTGACTGCTAGGATCCATACTCTTTGGTTCTATTGGGTAAGGTCACGTAGGTGAAAATAAAATAACAAAAAATCACGACGTTTCGGCCACAACACAAGCGGCCTTCATCAGGTGAAGGGACGAGACTGTCTGGAGGACAGCGCTGGAGTCCAGCGCGTGACTTTACCCAATAGAACCAAAGAGTATGTGACGACCAGGCCCCATGCAGCACTCACACCTTTGTCTCTCTCTGCGTCGCCGTAGAAGGCACCGGCTGAGAGCCTCATTTTTCCATAGTCGGACTTGTGTTGGGACTCCACCCAGCGGGGCTGCCATCCATCTGCATGCGAGCACACACACACACGCGCACACACACACCACAACATCACCATCATCATCAGCGCGTGGCCAATAACACTGCTGGATCAAGGCCTCCCCCCGGGCAGTCACCATCTCTCATGGTTTTGCGATGTTGCAATCCACCCAGCACCTGCCCACATAAGCTCATTCAATCTTGATTTGAAGCTTTCGTGACTGCAGGAATCCACACTCTTTGGTTCCTTCGTCAAAATTCACGTAGCTATTATTATTATTTCTACCCACGTGACTTTACCGAAAGCTCGTTCAATTCGCTCAATCTCTCTCGGTCGTCACTTGCATCCCCTTGGCTGGTTAGGCCGCCCGCCCGCCCGCCCCCCGTAATTCTCGACTAGGGCGGTGAAGCAAAGACGACAACTCCGTCGCGATTGAATTTGCCTCTTGATTCGGGGTCCCGTACATTCAGCCATCATCCCACCCCAACGGTGAGAGCTGTGGCAGGAGCCTCCTGATAAAGAGAGGCGTGAGACACAGCGAGAGGGATTTTATGGACAAACAAGCAAAGTAATAGCGACATTTAAAAATACACTGGACAGCTACTGTGGGGCCGTCCATAAATTACGTCACGCACCTAGGGAGGGGGGGGTCAAAAATCGCGTGACGTCATTTATGGCCGGACCCTGTGCTGTATTTGCGTGTACAATAATAATAAACAAAAAAATGGGGGGGGGGGGGCCTGAAATGCTTTGTGTAAGCTACCAAATTATAACATACCATACAACTATAATATTGCGCCTTCAGTGGGCTATCGCAGGTGAAACAATTCCCCACATCGATCGAGCACGCTCGTACATAATTGCGGATATATTTTTTTGTTTTGAATGAGGCGTGGACGTGCGTTGCAAGAGGAGGCCAATGACTCTCTTAGATAGAGCTTCCCACCCGGGGTGTCCCTCAGGCAGGGCGTGAGTCGGCACTTGCGGGCCTGCGCCTATACCCCCTCGCTAAACCGGGTTAAATAGCGAGAACGTCGACCAAAAAAATAGTACAATCGTTACTATCATACACACACACACAAATTTACCGATCACATTTTATAATCCCCGACCGTAGGTTGATGACGACGTAAATTGCTAATGGAGGAATAACAATAAACAATAATTATTGTTGATGTGAGGGGATTCGCTGGGGCCCGTTACATCGCTCCTCTGAGGGGGTGGTGGGGATTTCATTGGCGGGAAAACGACGACGACGCCGCCTCGGTTATGAGGCGAACAAAGGACAGCGATTTAATCGACGGGCGAACGAAGCTAATTTGACGACAGGCGATCGGTGACCGAATGAATGGATGATGAATGAATGGAACGAGTGCGTGACGCGCGATCTCACCGCCGTCGCTGAACCTCTCCTCGAAAAACACCTCGGCCATAGCCCACGAGGCCGTGAGCCACAAGGTCAGCACGGCCTTCATCATCGCCGCCGACGACGACGACAATAACACTGACGGATAAGAACCACAACAACAATTACAAGCACCAGCAGCAGCAACAACCACCACCACCGCCGCCAACCACAAACTCGTGACGGCTGCCCGCCACACGGACGGCGCAGATTGGCTGCCGCGGCCCCAACGACAACGCAGTTGATTTCCCAGCGCGGATAAGCATCGCGATTGATTAGTGGAGCGGATACGCGGCGGCCGCGACACGGCGTTAGATTTACTGGCGCGGATAAGCATCGCGATTGGATTACTGGAGCGGATACGCGGCGGCCGCGACACGGCGTTAGATTTACTGGCGCGGATAAGCATCGCGATTGGATTTACTGGAGCGGATACGCGGCGGCCGCTACACGGCGTTAGATTTACTGGCGCGGATAAGCATCGCGATTGGATTTACTGGAGCGGATAAGCTCGTTAGATTTACTGGCCCGAATAGGCGATGGCGGTACATTTCCTAGTACGGATGAGCGACGTCTGCAGCAGGACGTGATTAGTCCCCCGCAAATTGCCGTGCAAGCAGCCGTAGCTACCATTAAATCATTCGCTCATTGATTCCTTTACTCAATTCTTCAGGAGCTCATACGATCGATTTATTAATTCCTGTGTCTTCACTCGATTATCTCCTTCAACTGTTCCGAGATTCTACAGATTCCTTCACGAATGCCCAGATTCATTCATGGACTCCTTTTACTCATTCAAATATTTCACCGTGCTCCATCGATACAAAGCGCTATGGGGCCGTCCATAAATGACGTCACGCACCTGAGGGGGGTCAGACATTTGTGACGATGTGACGAGGGGAGGGGGTGAGAAGTGTGACGTCACATAAAAATGCGCAACTTTAAATATAGACACGTTCTACTTAATTAAATATTTTGTTCTCCTACAACAGAGTGCAGCGCCACATTAAATACGCGCTACAATTACGATAGTTTAAAGCGATTTGAAGCATGTTTTATTTTCAAAATAGAAATATGCTTTTGGGTAGGGGGGAGGGGCAGAGCTTTGTGACGCCATATTTGATGGGACGTCTGACTCTTTGTGACGTCATGTGACGAGGGGGGGTCAAAAATCCTTCAAAATCGCGTGACGTCATTTATGGACGGCCCCTATGAAGAAAGAGGCTCAAAGTGTTTTGGAGAAGCGTGGATCAGCCATCGAACGAACACTGCAGTCACCGCATCTCACGGCCCTTTCAGATGCGCCTCTGCGGCCGTCTGGAACGCTCTTCCTTCCCATATTAGGAAGCCAGTGGAGCTACGCATTGAAAAATTTGATACTCCGACTGATGCTCCTGTTGTTTGTGGAGTGACTCATGCAGCCAGCTATTGGTCTAGGGTTTGGTGTTAAATGTTATTTATGTAGTTTATTGTTAAAAATTCGGTCACGGTTCCTATGATCACTGTTACATTGCATTTATGGCTTTATTTTGGTGATTTCTAAAAGTTTTTTGGTTTGGCCATGTTTTTTGTTTATTGTAGTACGGAGTTAGACTGATGGCCTTAATCTAAGTTTTCTTGATGTTGTTGTTAGACTTGCATCCCACTGGGATTTTTGCACACAGCGTTGGTGTACGGTGCTATTTCAGAAATATTTTGATGTTTTTTCCTGGATTTTCTGTTTGCACAGTCACACAGTCACTTTAAGATGTTTTCTTGTTCGTGTTTTTGTTTGTTGCAGTTGCACCCAATTCAAGAGCCGAATGGCTCACAGGGCTCGAAACCAAATAAATGAAACTATGAGATTGACAAACTCATTTATTTGGAACTCAT